CCAAACCCCCCCCCCCCCCCCCCCTGACCTTGCTCCCCACAGCCCCAAGTGACAGAGGGGCCGTGGGGCACTGGAGTGTCCCCAGCCATGCTGTGTCTGGCCCCCATGTACCTGTACAGTCCTTTTTGTTCCAGTGCAGCTTGCAGCCGGCGGGACAGGTACACTGGTAACTGCCGGCTGTGTTGATGCAGCCGAATTTGCAGCCCCCCCGGTTGATGCTGCATTCATCGATGTCTGCGGGGAAGAAGGGGGAGGCGGTGGGCGAGGGGCAGAGGCTGAGCTGGACCCCCCCTGACTCGGACACTGAGTTGCTGCATCATCTCAGGGCTGTGATTCCGGACAGATAAACTGCACGACCCACGCCCGGTTGGAGATTGGGGACGCAGACCGCAGCCCTGCCTCCCCCCTGCAGCCCCGCCAGCCCCATGGGGCTGAGGGAAATCCCGACGCCAGTGTCCCTGCGGGCTGCGTGGGGATGGGGTGCAGCCCACCCAGGCTGAGCTCGGCCCCGCAGCGGGCTGGGGAGCTGTGGGGGGCAGCAGCCAGAGCCGACATGGAAGCACTTAGCAGCCGAATTCAAAAGGCAGCTGCTCAGCAGCCCCAGCCCCTCTCCCTGCAGCAGGGACCCTCTGCCCCGGCCGGAAACGGGGGGCAAATCCTCCAGGTCTGGCATGAAGCAAGGGCAGAGGTGGGATGGAGCTGCCAGGGATGGAGCTGCCCCCCAAACATCCCTCCCTGCCTGGATCCCCCTTCTCGGAACGTCGGTGGGAGCCAGTGACCCCTCCACTGCAGGGTCACACCGAGAGCATCCCCACGGCCGTGCTGGCTCACGTCTGGCTGTGGATTTTGGGAGCACGAGGAGGGTCACCCACCCTCACCGGCCAGGCAGTGCCGAAGCACTCAGCCTCGTGCCACCATCTCCCGGGGCCGATGGCACCGCTGCTGCGACACGCTCTGGCAACCCCCCCAAAGCACGTTTCATCTGCCTCCCCGCTTCCCGGGCTGCCACACGCCCCCGCCCTGGGGAGCTACCTGCCTTGTGAAACTTAAATCAAACGTTTTTGATGTTCCCCTTCCCACCCCGTCCCAGCTCCCTGCCAAAAACGCCGGGGATTTCTCTCCCGCTGCAGACAAGTCACAAATTGCTCCTGTCGCTCTGTTTGAAGTTGCAGCGTCTGGATGCAAGCCCCCTCCCCGCCTGGCCCCAGCTCGGGGCACGTGGTGAGCCGACACCACCCCCTCCCCGCGTGAGTGGTATCCCCAGGGGTCCCGCAGCGGCCATGCCCTGGGGCTGCCCCCGCCAGCACCCAGCCGGCCCTACCTCCACAGTGGGTGAGCCCGTAGAGCGTGTAGCCCTTGTTGCAGAGGCACTGGAAGCTGCCGGGGGTGTTGATGCAGAGGTGGTCGCAGGTCCGGTCGAAGGAGCACTCGTCAATGTCTGGAGGAAAGGCAAGCGGGAAAGGTGAGGGCTGGCGCGGCGGAGGGGCAGCCCTGGGGACAAGGGCTGTCCCCTTCGTGCTCCACCTGCTCCAGCAAGCCAGGGGCTGCACTGGGATGCTGTGGGATCCTGCACTGGGATGCTCCAGGGATTCAGCACAGGGATGGTCCAGGGATTCAGCACAGGGATGGTCCAGGGATCCAGCACAGGGATGGTCCAGGGATCCAACACTGGGATGCTCTGGGACCCAGCACTGGATTTCTCTGTGGACCCAGCTCCGGATTGCTCTGGGGATCCAGCACCAGGATGCTCCGGGGATCCAGCACCAGGATGCTTCGGCACCCTGTGCTCCCACCCTGCCTGCCTCCAAGCTTCCTCCTCGTCCACCCCAGCTGCTGCTACATGGGAGTAGCAGCCCACCACCCCAGCATCCCCCCATGCCCCCAGCTCCTGCAGCCCCTCTGCACCTCAAATGGGCCAAATGGGGCCAGCACCCTGCCCTTTGCACGGGGCGGCTGCGAGAGCCGCTGCCCGGCCAGGGCTCTGCCCTGTGCCGCGGAAGGACGCTGCTTTGGCAGGTTGTGCCCTGGGGACAGTGCCAGCCGTGTCTGCTCGTCCCTGCGGGGGACCCCGCCCGGCGGGTCTGAGCATCATTTCCTTGGCTTCATTAAGTTAATTGCTGCGCTCACGTCAAACTCCCAAGAGCGCAGAACCTGGATGGAGATGAAAGCGGTTGCAGCCCCGGAGAGTGCCAGCAACCTCCTTCCCCGGCTGCACGCTTTCGGGAAGCAACGCTTGGGCTCATGCACACCCCTCCCCGTGCCGGCCTAGGCCATGGGCTGGGGGTGCAGTGCCCCCTGCTCCCCACTGGACGGCCCAGCGACCTGCCAGGTCATTTAACCTGCTGGGTTTATGTGGGATGCACAGGAAGAAGTCAGGACAGGGAGAAAAAGGCAGAAAAAGCAGCGGGGAGCAGCGCTTTCGGGAAGCAACGCTTGGGCTCATGCACACCCCTCCCCGTGCCGGCCTAGGCCATGGGCTGGGGGTGCAGTGCCCCCTGCTCCCCACTGGACGGCCCAGCGACCTGCCAGGTCATTTAACCTGCTGGGTTTATGTGGGATGCACAGGAAGAAGTCAGGACAGGGAGAAAAAGGCAGAAAAAGCAGCGGGGAGCAGCCAGGTCCCTCTGGAGCGAGGATGCGTTTTCCCCCCACCTCCTGCCCTCCGACAGACAGGAGAAGGGGGAAATCCCTTTGCAAAAGCCACTGAAATCCTTGCTCTGCCTTGATGGCTTGCAGCAACGGCGCAGCACGGTCCAGCCCATGCCGCGGGGCGGCTGGCAGAGGGGGAGAGGCAAGGCAGGACACGTCCCGGTGCTTTTCCCGTCCCTCATCCCAGGAAAACCACGGCCTCTTGAGCGGGAAGGAAGCAGCCGGTCGGTGCGTCAGTGCCTGTGCTTTAGCAGGGAGCTATGGCCGTGCTGCTGCAGGATCGCCAGCAAAACAGTTGTGCAACAAAGCAGAATAGCTTGGGAGAAGCCCAGAGGTGCCAGGGTGGGTGCTGAGCGCAGGGTGCCCTCCTAGGACACATGGGGTGCTGCTGGGGTCCCCAGTCCCCTGGCATGGGTGCTCCGGAGCACAGCCAATGGTCCCAGGCTCGCAGCGTGCCCCCTGCCCGGGACGCTCCCTGCACCCAGCCAGCGCCGCGCCCCAGCCCACGGGGCTGCGGGGAATGTCGTGACCGTCATCCGAGCCCTGAGTAAGGCCGGAGGATTTCACCTGGCATCTGCCTAATTGCTGGCTTGGACTCTGCTGCAAGAAGAGTCCAGAAATCCCCGGCTCGGGAGCGGAGCTGGGACGGCAGCCCAGCTCTGCAGATCAAAGCACTAAGCTCCAGACCAGAACCCAAATCCAACACTAATCCCCCGAAGGATGTACGCGGTCCAGAGGAGAGCAAAGAGGAACGAGTAACCAGGCCAGCACTCCTCCAGCAGCAGCCGTGGGAGGGCTGAGGAACGCTGGAGGGCAGGGAGAGGGGATGTCCCCGGGTAGGGCAGGGTGCCGGGGTCCCGCTGCCCCTTACCTTGGCAGTTCCTCTCGTTGATGAGCAGCTTGTAGCCCTTCTTGCAGCTGCACTCGAAGCTGCCCACTGTGTTCCTGCAGATGTGGTCGCAGCCGCCATTGTTGAGCCGGCACTCGTCGATGTCTGGTGGGGACAGGGGACACGAATCACACCGTGGCTGGGATGCTCGGAGAGGAGAGCAGGGTCGTCCCCTCCAGACCCCATCCCCACCATGAGCCGGCCAACAGAGGAAACCCTTTGGGCTCTGATGGTCACCGGGAGAACGTGGCTGCTGGTTTTATCTGGGTGCATCTGGGGAGATGACACATGACAGTGTGGACACTGGGAAGGTCAGGGCTCCTGGGCTTGGCTCCCCTTGGGCGTTGTGCAAAGCGTTTAATTCCTGCGGGTCTCAGCACCCCCCGCAGCGCAGCCAGGAGCAGGGGTCTACGAAAGAGCCTCGCAGCTGGGGGAAAGCACCAGAGCAGAGTCTGCAGAGCCACAGGTTTGGCTTGGGGGCTACTGTTGGGGACCAGGAGTAGCAGGAAGGAAGGGCAAGCCAGGAGGGGAAAACCCCTCCTTCAGAAACAGCCACTCAGCGAAATACTTTTCAGCCCTCACCTCTCTGCTTGCCATCTCCTTCCTGCCATAAAGAGAGCTAAAAATGATGATGCACAATAACTGCAAAGAGCCCAAACAACCTGGAAAGAGGCTGGGACTTGGTTTTTTGCTTCTTTTTTTTCTCCTTTTTCTAATAATCACAAAAATAACTGCTAGGAAATGACCTGTAAAAGGGAAGGA